ATAGTTGCCCAGACACACACGTGTGCTGGATGTGAAACTGACAGAACTTTCTCCAAGGCGTTTCTCAAATATTCCCGCACATTAGCTCATAAGAGAATAATATGAATATTAGAAAACATTTATTCACATAAACAAACTGTTTCTCTCACAGGAAGAAGAAATATCAGTTTATTGAGTCTTTGTCTCCTTCAACAAACATCGTCTGAAAACATGTGATATGATTTACTGCCTCCTACTGTGTGTGTGTCTGTGTGTGTGTTACAGTGTACACAAGATTGTGGGTGTATTATGTCGGGATCACTACAGGTGCATTGATGCAGAATGTTAACGTGTGGCTGCAGATTTCATTTTGAATTTCCAAAAATCAACCTTAAAATGTTCCATATTAATTGCAAAAGCATAACGAATGAGCTTAAGCTGCAAATGTCAGCATGCAAGGCTTTTACTTATTTGTATGTACTTTAGTTCTCTTGTATAATTTAAACTGTAAAGTATTTAGGCACTAGTTTCATGTATTGTTTGAGCGTTATCAAGGATTTTCACACGATAGAAATGAAAAACCTGTTTTTCACCACTTTCTGAAATGAAGGGTGAGAAATCATCCTGAAGTTCCAGCGATAAATCTCCGTCATGGTGACGTGTAAATCTTACTGGACGTTCCGTGTGAGAATGGAAAGCGTGACGAGCACGGCGGCAGTGAAACCGCCCGCTGCAGCTCTGAGGTGAAAATGCATTGTTCTGCATTAAAGTCAGGATTTAAAGTTACTAAGAAAACACAGCGATACCAGGAAGTGAGTGTGTAGCATGTTCTGCTTCCAGTAAAGGCCGGAGTTTTGTGATTATGGTGCAGCAAGGACAAACACAAGTTAAAAGGCCGGTTGTTAAACATGACGGGATCATGTTGATGATGATTCTTCAGTTCCTGGCCAGGACCTAAGCTGCCATTTCCTCTTGTAAGAATAATAACGGCTTGAAAAGTCTGCAGGAGCAATTCTCCCAGAAGGCAACGTGAAGCTGATTGGAACATTTAGAGGCCTGGAGTGGATTTTTCATTGGATGAGGTTTACTCAGAAGGTTAAAAAATTATATCTGTTTTTATTCAGGAATGTGGGAATTTGTGATGGATAGTAAATATAAAATACATGAAATAAAGCTTTATTGATATTTTACACCAATAAATCAAACATCTCTATGTTCAGTACACGACTTTCTGTTATTTAACTTTATTTATGATCTAAAAGATGATCTGTGATCGGGTGTGAGTGGTCATTTCAATGTTCGAGTACGTTTAAGCATTTGTCTTTTAGAGCAGGTTTGGATTTAATTAGATATTTGATGATATAAACACAGGTTGAAACATCATGATCGACACTTGAGACTCTGCAAGTATCGTCGGAACGTTGACACCGCAGCTCGAAGCCTCGATCACAACTGCAGAGACTCTGGCTCCAAATGACGCCGTCGGCACAAGATGGCATCTTCAAAACAAATTCATCAAATTGAAAACAGCCTTTGCTTTTCCCTGTGAAGCTCCCCCTTGTGGTGACCAGAATAATAACAGACTGCCATTGTGACAACAACATTGTCACGATGCAGCGAAACATCCGCATGTTCGGACAACGGAGACTTGCACCCTGCCAAGTGCCTGTGTCTCCTTCTGGAAGCCGGAGACAAACGGTTGTTGTTTAGGTTTGAGGATTCGTTGTTGTTGTTCACATTCCTGGCGACCTGAGGCTCGAGCAGAGTGCACGACACATTCAGCACACGAGCGGAACGCAGCATTCTTCAGCTCATAACCTCATATCTCCCGGGAGAGGTTGGACCAAGGCTCTTTTGATGACTAAAGCTCATGACACATGAAGACACCAGATGTTCTGTGTTTGAGTTGGCACTCCAGTTTGCAGAAACAACCATGTAACCCCATAATAGCCCTTGTTATAGAACATTTCACAACTTATGGTTATTAAAGTGGAACCTGCGTATAGACCATAAAGAAGTTGTGCTGAGGTCCATCTTAGTTTCATTTTCTGATGTGGAACTCAAATTGGCTTTAACAGCTCTGAAACATTCCAGAATAAAGAACATCCAGAGCACAGGGTCAGCAACAGAACACAGCAGATGATGTTTTACTCAGAAACCCTTCTGGTCACAGGCTGGTTCCCAGATGTAGTCAGCAGGTTTGGAGGTAGAAAGAAGAAACAGAAAACTTCCGACAGGCCATGAAGTAAAAGTCTAATTTCCAAGATGCATTAACGTTTGCCAACACTTCAACAAAAGTCCTTCCTTGTTGATCTTCATGTGTTGTCTTCATCTCGTCCCGCAGGTCCCCCACCAGCACCGCTTGTCTGTGGACGTCATCCCAGAGCTGCGGAGCGCCGACAACCACTGCAGGAACCCGGGAGGAATCAGCGACAAGCCCTGGTGTTACACCTCAAATCCCAACATACGCTGGGAGTACTGCGCCGTGCTTCAGTGTGGGGAGGCAGACACAGCGCCAGGTACTCTTACACAGTATTACACCATGTACCCATGACAGTCAAGGTATTTCAACATGTTTGGACCTAGGAGCAAATGACCAAAATTCAATGACCAACCCAATTGGGTTTGATGCTTTTTATTTGTGTATTTAATGAGTAAATCCAGTTTATTACAATGTAAATCTTATTTTTTTAAATCATTTTGAATATCCTACACATGTTAAAGTAATCAGGGAACACTGGAAACTAAAGAGTAATTCAGTTAAACACGAAACATGCTCTTATTTAGGATGCAAATTAAAAATATCTATTATCTAGAAGTCACGTATTTATACTCAAAACTTACCAAGCTGACTCTGGATCAGGGTACAAACACGAGAACATGCCACCCACAGACACACTAACACACAAAGCGATATTGTGCTGTCGCCCGCCTGGTTCTCACCTCTTAATCCCACCTCTGAGAGTCACTGTTCAGGGAGAACTGCTTTTAATGCTGGCACACTAAACATTTATGGTGTTACTTAGTAGATATTACGCTTCAACTGGCAATGGCAGCAACGCTTTAGAAGCAGTGTGTATGGTCTGACTGAGGGTTTTTGAGTTGAGGTATTTGGGCTGGGTTTTATTGGCTGTTTGGCTGGTTTTGTCACACGGACCTGGCAACCCCTGACTTGCGAGCAGCGAATTCTGGTGGAGCTTAATGGTTCAGCTTCCTGAGTAAAAATATAGTTTCCACAAATGAACAATGTCAAGTTAAGATGTCTGCGTCCATGACTGGTAGAAATTGTCTTGCCCTCGTCCATATTGAAATCTTTTATTTTTGCTCCCCTGCTGTTTCTTCGTCATTCATCTTAAGTTTTTATATTTTATTCTTCGTCTAACTGTCCTCCTTTAACACCATTTATTAAAATAAAAATGACAGTTCATGACTCTGTGTTTGTCAGTGACGCAGCCGGATTCGCAGGGCCCCCGTCAGACGCCTCTTGCCCCCCCCATGACCACGGTATCGTCTCCGGCCTACTCCATGTCCGTCATCGTTATCATCCTCTCTGCATTGGCAGCTGCGGTCTTCCTCTTCATCAGCGTCCTCGCCTGCCGCAGACGGAGGAAGCAATGGAGGAACAGAAAGAGGTAAAGGAAGGAAAGGATGCACAGCTTCTCTCGTCTCCCTTCTGTCCCTCGCTCATGTGATTTTTCTGGGGTCCACAGAGCGATGGAGACCCCGACGATGAGCGCTCTGCCGTCGGAGCTCCTGCTGGACCGACTCCACCCAAACCCCATGTACCAGAGGGTTCCCCTGCTGCTCAACTCGAAGCTACTGGCCCTCGAGTACCCACGGAACAACATCCAATATGTGAGAGACATCGGAGAGGGGGCCTTTGGACGGGTTTTCCAAGCCAGGTGAGAGAAATGGAGGAAAGTCAAGCAGACGGATAAAGGGGAGAAGAGGAGAAGTGGATGATTGAGGTAGAGAAAGATGAAGAAAGAGAAGCGGTTATGTTAAAAAACTCAAAGAAAAGGGCGAGAGACGTTGTGAAGAGGGAATAGAGCAGCCACACCAGACCCAGGTCGTTCAGAGAAGTGCTGCGTCATTCACAGAGTCACAGGCAGAGCTGCTGCCGGTGTCACTTACACTGAACACCGACCCTGTTCAACACACAGATGTCTCACACTCGTCTCTCTGATACCGTGAATCACCAGACCTGGCTCACGGAGTGCATGGAATTAAGAAATGGAACAAATCTCTTCTACATATATTTAGGTTGAAAATGTGGCCTGAAGGATTTTTGTGTGGTTTCCTTCTTGCTCTGCTTAAAATCATGATACGTTTTTTATATATCGCAGAATAATAAAAGACCCGCTGCAGCCAATTACATATTCTTTCTTTTACAGTGATTCACTGCAGCGGGAATGCTTTTTGTCAAGATCCATGTTATTCCAGTGAAATCAGTGATCAAAGAAAACCACCAAACAACTTCCTTGGCGGAGTTTAAATAAAGTTTTATATGTTTGTGAGACTCGGTTTTATTAGAATTCGTCTCCCGCAACTCAAATCTCACAAGTTTAACAACCGACACAAACCAGAATCGCACCTTTTTTCGTAGAAGAGCTTTTGAATTGTTTAAGTAAGAGATTCAGACATGACAACGAAGGACTGACGGACACACACATCATGAAACAGACGAATAGATGAGCTCTCTAACTTTCTACCTTCAGCGTTACACAAAGTGAAGACTTAGATATCAACACACAGCAGCACGGTGGCGTGTAGCTAAGACGTCCATCTGGTCGGCCGCTAATCCCTCAGTGAGAAGTGGAATGCTGCAGTATACGGACACCCCTGGGAACACAACACACACACACACACACATTCTTTCACCCATATTTATATAAGCTTGATTCTAAAATGTTGTTTTGGTGGCGGCTCCTGTAGGAAGTATAGGGACCCATTAAAATGTCTCGACGTTTCATATTGACATAAGAGTCTGAAACTCAAATTTAGCTTCACAATGATGGTGCACGGACACACACACACACACACAAACACACACACAAACACACACACAAACACACACCATTCACGGAGACCTAAATAGAACCAAGCAGTAAATAACTTCTTCCCCCACAAACAGGCTGCAATCTATAGTTTCCCATTGTGTGTGTGTGTGTGTGTGTGTTTGTGCACACGTCTATTTTTAAAAATCTAATGTTGAGTTTAGTCTGCCCCTATAGTGAGCGACACAGGAAGCTTGCATGAGCACATGTATGTGTATGTTTCCCTTCCACTGACCGACATCTCTAGTTCTCTGTAATCACACTGTTGTGTTGGGCGTCTTGTTGGTGAGACTTAAAACACAAGAGTTAAAGACATCTGGTCGATGCATCACGAGAAGAAAAAAAAACGCCTCAATGCTAAAACACATAAAAATACATGTTTACAATGACTGAGCCGCATCGTCAAACCCACGTGTGTGTGTGTGTGTATGTACGTGTGTTGCAGAGCCCCAGGTCTGCTGCCTATGGAGTCTTTCACCATGGTGGCTGTGAAGATGCTGAAGGAGGAGGCGTCGCCCGACATGCAGAACGACTTCCAGAGGGAGGCGGCGCTCATGGCCGAGTTTGACCATCCCAACATCGTGCGACTCCTCGGTCAGTGTGTTTGCATGTGAGAGTGAAGGTGTGTGAGGGCGGCAGCAAGATTTGGGGGGAGGGGGGAGGCGTTATGTGCGTTGAATCAACCAGTAGAACCGTAACAGATCCACGGGTATTGAACCTCTTCAAGTGCATGTCTCTCAGTGTGTTTTATTTTTGAATCTGAAAACAGCAGCGGACATTTTCGTCACAGCGTGTTTTCTTAAATCTGCATTATTCCCTTTGACAGACATTTGTATTAAATCCAGTTTCCTGTTCCCACTCACGCTCATCCTGAGTGACGTCGTCCTCCTCAGATCTTTTCCACAGTAAAACTACAGATCCAGACGGAACCAGTAAATAAAGAGTTCCCTGAAAACTCATGTACCTTTGTCGACCTTGATTGAAACAAACATCCTCTATTAAATTTTTATCTACACTAATGCAGCAAATCTAATCTAACACAAACAAGCTCGCATCCGTGTTTATTTCCAGGGAGACGCTCGGAGAGACAACGCAGCCCAGCGAGTAAACAAGCCCATCGCTCACTGAAAGACGTGCGTTTACTTTGGTCCATTCTGCAGCTCCGGTAGTTGAGAGTTAAAATTCACCACCGTTGGAAAAAAGGGAAACGATTTTTCAGAGGTGAAACCGAACCGAACTTTGGATGAGTCATCCGCAGAGTGGATCTCGCTGAAGTCCGAGTTACTTAACCTGTAATTACCCTCTGGGCTAATAATACGCACGCGTATACAAATATATACATCATCAATAGAATGCATTTGTTAAAATTAGAGGGACCACATGTCCTCATGTCATGACTTTGCCGCTTGTGCAGGACGGGGCCTCAGTGATCTGTATATTTACACACACACACACACACACACAGAGACACCAGGCAGAAGTAATCAGAGCTCGTTCCTCTGACAGGCTCCTTCACTCTGACACACAGGACACGAACTAACTGAGCTTGACCTCCGAGCTTCCTCCCCTCGCCTTGTTTTCACGTTGTCGTCTCTCTGGACATCGCAGCTTCGAGACAGTTAAACAAACATTACACTTGGAGAGCGCTGACCTCCGCCACGGCCCAACAGTCCGCTCATGGAACCACATTTAAATTCACCCGATCTGGATTTTCTGTTCGGTTCTGCACCAAATGTCACAAACTCACAGAAGACAGAGTCAAAACTATTTTCATCCACCAGCTTGTCTGGAGTGTCGCTGCTTCCTGTATCCCTCGTTTCAGATTAAAAGCCCTGTAGTTTTTTCTTACAGTCTCAAGGACAAACAAAATGAAAACTCCCGAACAGAAGTTAAGATTCCACCGTCATTGGGACGACAATAAAAAGCTGATACATTTCATTTATGAGTTCCAGCTGTTTGTTTGAAGCCCAGTGATGTTTACACAGTCAGTTCATTAAACCAAACATTATTTTACATTTCCCTAATGCGATCTGACACATTGGGTATTCAGGGGGACTCTGGGATTGCCACAAGAAATAAAGTTGTGGGAGTTTGACTTTGGGAGTTTTTGGGGCCAGCGACGGGTCACTGAGGTTCCAATTCATGATTCACACATAAAACAAAATGCAATCAATCAGAACTATGACTGTGGCCAGTGCTCCGACCGCAGAGAGCGGACTCGCCATGTACTGAACTGGAAACAAACACGGAGAAGATCGTCCCGGGCCTCACACGCTTGGCTGTGGAATGAGAAACTAAAACTACTGTCTGGCTCCTGTGGGGTATTTCTGTCCTTGTTGGCAACTCTGCTGATTTGTTTGAGTATTTTCCACAGAGCTGTGTTGCGAATGCCAGGTTACATGAATGTGGGACATGTACGGCCTGTGCTTTGCCGCTGGGGCTCTGCACAGTCTTCACATTGTGCGCTCTAAGTCCTCTAAGCTGTGCACATCGCAAAAAAGCATTTACAGGAATTCAAAGATAAACAAGCAGACGGCCGCTCTTTACTAGAGGCCGAGTCAATAAGAAGTGAATAAAGCAGAATACATTTGGTGAGTTTTAATATCGACAGAGCTCAGAAACAGATTTATAGATGGATAAATTGTAAGATAATAATCGTTTTTTGATTATTGTGTCTTTTGTGGAGACACTACCTAATTTATTTTTCCTTTATCCTAGAAGAACTTTATTCTTGTGACTTTTTTTTTCGTGTAATAATACAATTTCTTGTCAACATGGCTCTAATACTAATCTACAGTGTCACAGCAAAATACTTCCTCCACATCAAGAGCTGTGGAAAACGTCTCACTGCAAAACGCCCCTCAGCATTAATGATGTTTCCAGAAACCTAGAAAGAATTATTTAATTGTATGTTAAATATGTAAATTCAGAAAAAACTGTGGCCATAATCATTTCACCTAAAATCTGTGCAGACAGGCCCAGAAAAACACGAGCTTCATTTAAAAATACACCAAGTCTATGTCACACAGATGTAAGACTGTACGTCTACACCACTTTAAAGTTTATTTACGAGCATGTACACATCACAGAGGGTTTCGTCTGTGTTTATGTCTGGACCCGATATATTTTTACCCTTTACAGTGAATGAACTCATTATATAATCTGCTGTAGGAGGAGAAACACACTTGATGCAGGATGTTACGACGTCACTGATGTGTTTGACTCTCGAACCTCCGTGGTGGAAACTAATCAGCCCTTTTAGTTCTGTCTCAGATCATAATTTAAGTTATCCTCTCTTCACCAGGCGTGTGTGCGGTGGGCAAACCAATGTGTCTGATGTTCGAGTACATGGCCCACGGTGATCTCAACGAGTTCCTGCGTCGTCGCTCTCCGACCCAATCGGTGCACACCCTGAGCTGCGCCAGCCTCTCGGGCCGCAGCTTCTCCACGGAGTCGGACGCGGGACAACTGGCCTGCGCTGAGCTGCTGTTCCTTTCCAAGCAGATCGCCGCGGGGATGGCTTACCTGTCGGAACGCAAGTTTGTGCACCGTGACCTCGCCACCCGGAACTGCTTGGTGCGCGAGGAGATGGTGGTGAAGATCGCAGACTTTGGCCTCTCCAGGAACATCTACTCTGCCGATTACTACAAAGCCAACGAGAATGACGCCATACCCATTCGCTGGATGCCCCCAGAGTCCATTTTCTACAACCGCTACACCACCGAGTCGGACGTGTGGGCCTATGGCGTGGTGTTGTGGGAGATTTTCTCCCATGGCATGCAGCCGTACTACGGCATGGGTCACGAGGAGGTTATTTACTACGTGAGGGACGGTCACATCCTGTCCTGTCCTGAGAACTGTCCTCTGGAGCTGTACAATCTGATGAGGCTTTGCTGGAGCACTCAGCCGTCAGACAGGCCCAGTTTCTGCAGCATCCATCGGATACTGGAGCGAATGCATCAGAACACAGTGAGCGTGAATGCTGAGCCTGAGCCCGACTGCTAACCTGGGAGATTTCTTTTTTTTTTTTTTTTTACAAAAACACGACTGTACCTGTGCAAGATGTTGTGATTTCGTGTCTGAAACTCAATTTGAAATGAGCCGTCCACTGAATACTGTGACTTGCTTGTCCAGTTTTACTTGTTTAAGTCGCCTGATTCCACAGCGGCAATAAACAATCACTTTAAAACACTGATGTTGATTGTTTTGTTGAAAAGTTGCTATTCCAGTTTTGGGCATTCTTGATGTATATTTTCTTTTTCTTTTCTTTTTCATCATGTTGTTTTTGATCGTGTCTTTTTTCTCTTGATTTCAGAAAAAATTTAATAATTCTATAACTTCTCATTTCCTCTTCAGTGACTTAAAAACTGCTGAGCTGTCGTCGATGTGGAAGGAATAAAATCTTTATTATTGATCATTTCATTCTTTTATTCTGACACAATAATGGTTCAGCACATTGCAAATATTCTACATATATTTAGATTTGTTCTTTAAATGTATTTGATTAATATAGAAAATATAAAAATGCTGAAGTTGCCTTTCAGATGAATAACATGTTTTTACATGTGGTGTGATTTCATGTTTTTGGTATGTAAATGAACATTTTCACCACATGTCTCATTATTTCTTGGCGCTACTTTCTAATAAACTATTATTTAACATGTTTGTCTGTTAAAAAACTGAGTCACTATAAGTATTGAAGTTGTGGAGTTAAGTATTAACTATATTTAACAAACATGCAAACAAAGCAACAGAACGACTTCACTCCTGCTGCTCGTGATTCTACAACTTTGTCTCACAGAATAAAAACAAACTCATCATAAACTAGAAAGCACATTTCGTTCTCTTTAATTAATTTAATTACGAGCCACCCCCCCCCCCCCAAACACATGTTCCATGACAGGTCCTCTCTGGCACCCGCCCCCTCGTTGTACCATGTGGAGGCAGCAGTGTTGTTACTCACCACAAGAGGGATCAGAGGGTGAACTGCAGCAGGAGGAGGAGGAGGAGAGATATTACACAGAGCTGATTTAATCGTTCAAGGTGAATTATCCCAAAAAACCTTGCATCCTGGATGTTATGAAACAATCACATCATTATCTGGAACTCATCTCTCTCTCTCTCTGCAGAGGAACCTGATTTCTTTCATCAAGATCCATGAGTTAGTCTCTGACGAATCAAGGACAATGTTGAAAAAATGCTTTATCTTGCAAAGTTGAAGAAATATCAACAATTGAAATCAAACATAACCTAATTTGTAGACGTAATAACCAGTTCAATGATTTCCTGTATGCACTCGAACAGCAGCCTTCACTTTCTCTCCTCGCTCTGTCCATTATTTCCTCACCGTTTCCTCTCTTATCTCTATTTGCTGTCGGTTTTCTTTTTTTTTTATTCTCCGTGTGTCTCCCGGCTGCAGACGCTGGGTGTGAAGAACACGTATTCACAGTGAACTCTGCCAATTTATCCCAAACAGCAGACAAAAGTTTGTTTTTTAATGCAGAATGGACTCTGACCTTCCTGCCAGCGGACGATCGCGGCCCTCAGAGTTTGGAGACTGTCATGAAGAATCCCTTCCTGTTGTCACGATAATCCTCCTTTGGTTCGGTTCATCTTCACCGCACAGACATATGATAATGTTGCGCGGGAAGTTGCTGCATGTTCCTGGACATCTTGGCAGACGCGTCCGCAGCTCAGCTTTTTCTGTCTCGTTGACTTTTCCAATCTATTTAGAAATTGCTGAATCTGTCAGTTTAAATCATTTCTTCCACCCATGTGTCACATAGAGCGGGACATTTGACCGCGGGGACACATTTGTCAGTCATCAAACCATCGGGTGGGGGGACGACAAAGATGTGGCATCCCCCTCATTCGACGGCACAGAGGAACTTCCTGTGTGGCTGCACCAGCTCTGATTGGACCATTTAGGGAGTAACAGGAAATAGGGAGACATATATCAGTCAACTGGAGGTGAGCACTCAAAAACTGCTGGAACAATAAACATGATGGAGTCCACACACACACACAGACACAGCCTTCTTTCCGATAAAAACATTTGGCTGCTGTGGCGAGAGCTTAATCGGTGTCACACACAAAACATCGCGGCCCTGACGACCCTTACAGCGAACCACGTGCACTCTCTTACCGTGCACTGGTTCATGCAGGCTCTGCATCATGTCACAGATCTCAGGCATTAGTGTCAAGTGATGTGTTTACACTGCACAACCACACAAACTAGTCTACATCAGACTTCACAGACAGTCCGAGACGTGTCAAGAGCCTCAAGGTCTGTGGATTTGTATTAGGTCTAGTGAGGAAACGAGCCTGTCATGGAGTATATACATTATCGGTGTGTGTCCGTCTGTGACCCTGAGTTCCCCCTGTTTGCCTTTCACTGACTTTCTGGATGTCATGGAAACGAAAACACAGCAGGATAACAAGAGAGGAGCAAACCACAGCAGGGCTTCACATCTCCGATCTTCAGAAAGACTCTTTCAAGTGTCCCATAAAAAAAAAAAAAAAAACCCACAACAAGTCAGACTTTTGTGTACGTCATGTTTTTATTGTTGCTGGAATATCAGCGCAAAGACTCTCGCTAGACATTCTTGGATATTGGGCCCTGCTGCATCGATAGAATATGTCACGATTACTCTACGACAAACAACCGGTCCATGCTTTAATGGTGGACATTGTATTTATTGAATGTGAATAAGCTTTAGTGCAGATGATCGCAAATTATGCAAGACACTCCCGGTGGATTGTGTTTTTTTACGCATAAAACTTTGGGTGTGGGTCTGTCGTATGTGGCCCATGATATATACTGTGGTTATTTTTTTTTTTTGAGGCTATGTTATGTACCTTTATTATTTAAAACAAAATCATGCTTTCTGGTGAACACTTTGTACAAAAGCGAAACGGCCGTCGGACACTGACTGATTAATCTGTTCTACTTTAAGGCAAATGTAAGACAACGGTGTTAGCAACACAAAAACTTAAAGAGTAGCTTAAGACTGCCTGAAAATGCTGGATCTGCTGCCCTCTAGTGGTGTAACTTCCCACCTCCATGACATCACAACTGGGCGTGGTCAGAGGTGAAGTTCTTCTACCAGAGGGGGCAGCAAAACGCCGCTTTTCAGTCCGGTGCTAATAAGTTACTCTTATGAAGGCACTGCACACACACACACACACACACACACACACACACAKACARATATATATATATATATATATAAAGTTCTGGGTCACAAACAAGTTAATAACTCTAAAAGAAATTCATTAATTAAGTTCATAATACAAAGAGCTCATGACATAAAAAAACAAAATCCTACAGTACATTTGGACGACAGTTAAATTTACACACACACAGAAACACTTTCCCTTTGGTGATTAACTTTGAATAAGATATTTTATATACACACATACTGTACACATACACTTACAATGGTATACAAAGAGTGATTCACTGGTAAACAAAGACATACAAAGACAGAACGTTTAGTTGGTTTGCTATATAACCTGAATCAATACTTAGGTTAGAACAACGGTGACAGTAAATGTCAAATACTGAGACTTGAGTCGTCGACCTACAAAGTTTCGGTCAATGAAACTCGTAAGAGGCCGACAAACGCAAAGATTAAACAAAACAAAAGATATTTTTTATTGACGATTGTTGCCTTGTGACTTCTGTTTGCCAACCGGGACAGTTTAGGAACGCCAGATGAATTCATGTGAAATCCCTGACAAACATCTTGCTTCCTGGAAAACATTAAACTGTACTTTTGGCTGTGATTCCCGCTTTGCTGTCAGCTGCTGCGAGCGCTGTCCGTGTATTCTGGGGCCAAAAAAATTGTTTTGATTCAAGTCACGACAAAAAAAACCCATTCAGTTGTACGTCATGGACTCACAACTTGAATGCAACTTTCAGTTGGCACAGAATCACGAGTTAATGGCAGGAGTCGGGGGGGGGGGTGGAAATCAACGCCCTTTCAGCACAGCACTGGTTCAACTCTGGATCACCTCTCGCTAAGTCCGTTCATCAAGGGAAACATCCTAAAGGCTTTGAGAATCATCCTAAGAGTAAACTTGGTTGTCAGTTGACCTTTCGCTGACGATTAGAAAGGCTCAGTGTTGTGGAGGTAAACTGAGGCTACATCAGCACTTCTAGCTTTTTGATTTACGTCACTTTGTGCTTTTCATGCTTGACGTCCACACCACTGACCCCGTCTAAGTTTTAGGAACTCCTTCGCTGCCGTCTTTACTACCTCGTCAACTGGCGCAGTGTGCACGGATGGTCACGTGATGTGCGTGTTTACGTGCGGAAGGAGACTACTTTTGATGAGGAGTTAAAACGCTCGTCTGGACGGAGATTGTTTTGGTTTTTAAAAACTAAAATATATTTGTATGGATGAAGCTTGAGCAGGTCGGTGATTGAAAACCGTTTATATCAGCTGCTGTATTACTCATGGAGAAGGTTCATCATCATCTGGTAAAGAAATTAATTGAATCATTTGAGACTTGTTTTCATCTTCAGAACATCCTCCGGGGAGATTTCACTCTGACCCCTTTATTTTTTGTCTCCGTCGGCCCCATGGACTCGGAGGCGGTGGATAAAAACAGCTCAGCTCATTTCATGTCACACTCTGAAGTCTGTTAACACTCAGCAGATATGACCTTCACCTCTTCTCCACATAATACTGTGGCACGCAGCCTGCTCCAAAAAACTGCAAACATCCTCCTCCTCTTTCTGGTAACATCCCTGGAACAGCTTGTCTTTGATTCCGTGCAGAGAATAAACATCTCTGGGTTTCTCTCAGTTCTCGGACCCCCTCAGAGATTTACGAGGGAACTGATGCGACCGATTCACAAAAGATTTTAATGCATGAGGACGGCCAATAGAATGATGAGTCCCTGTAGTATTTAGTCACTAGTCATTTAAAAATGAAAGATTAATCCAACGTGGAAAAGAATAGTGGCTTTTAATACTTCAATCGTGGGTAGTACTGCAGTATTGTTGTCATCAAATGTCAATATAATCAATGGTAGAACAATTGGTTCATTAATTTGCCACTTTGGTTTGATTTTTTTAAAATAAATCCCTTGAAACAATCAAGATCCACAAGGTCATTTTGAAGTTAAAGCTGCTGGAGACATCTTGTATTAACACTCACTTAGACGTCATGACAAAAAAAAAAAAAAAGAACGTTTAGTGTTCTAAATAAATGTTCTAACCATAGAGTCATGATGTTTGTTCAAAAGTTTGGTTTTAATTAGTGACTTGATGATATAAAAACAGATTGACAGCTCAGACTGACTTGTGATTGGTCGAGCACTCGTATCGGCAGGACCCCGGTACTGTGGCTAAACGCTTTTGGAACGACGTCCAAAACGCAATGCAGGATATTTGAGCTTGAGTATCATACAACTGGAGGTTGAAATGGAAACCTGTCGTTATGCAGCTAATGTGAATTTGTCCTGAAACTGACCATAGTGAAACCCAAGAGCAGGGGGAGCAGAGTTAGAGAAGACAGGAGAAAGAGGATGGGTTATACTGGCATTACCTTCATTTCACAGATTACTTTTAAATAGTTCAAAATCAGCATTTGCCCGAAATGAGACATTTGACACTGACAGAAAATAATAAACAGCTAAACAAAAAAAAAAACACGAACAGTCCATCAGAGTCCGTGAAGATCAGACCATTCCTGCGTTCGTCCTCCACACAGAGATAACGTCTCTTCATCTTTCTTCATAGTTCCCGTTCTTCTACATTGGGACCTCGTTCTGCTCGTCATCAAATCCGCTCCTTCATCTTCATCCTCGCATCT